ATGAAACATTTTCTCAGGAAATTAAGCAAAGAACAGTGTGGAAATTGAAGGAAATGATGAGAATTCTGTCAAAAAATCATGTTTCATGCAAAGTAGTCAGCCCTGGCCATTGGTTTGACTACCTACCAAAAAAGTGGTCGGCCGGCCAGTGTTTTGGCCATGTAGATCATCTTTTGGCTGGCCAGCCAAGAAAGTAGTTGGCTGGCTAGTTTACCTAGAAGCATGGCAGTTTCGGTAGAATTCTTGCTAGAAGTGAGTGGAACTTGTTATTCCAAATATTTATTGGTACATATGTGCACGAGATACACCCTTCCTCACCTTCTATTATCTTCATTTGGTCACCATTGTCAAAAGGAGGCTTGTTCTCTTCCATAAGGATGAATTCATCATCAACCTTGTCTCCCACCTCCTTGACTTAGCAATCCTCTCTGATTAGGATCAAAGGATGAAAAAAAAGAATTTAATTGAGAGAGAATTGAAGAGATATAGGGAGAGAAAGAGAGAAGTTAAGTTTTGAACCAAAACTTCCATTTCTTCTAAACATACACTGAAATTCCATATTCCATACATCAAAACCATCCCATAAATTCTGAAATAGCCTAATTCTAGTAGCTTTGATCAAAAGATAATGAGTGTTCTTGAATTTGAGTGAAAAACAGAGAGTTGAAACTCTTCTCCACACACACACTCTTCCCCATATATACACTGTTAAACATCCCCAAAACACCATTCCAACAACAATTTCGAATTTTAAAATTGCGAATTGAGAACATACTTCCATAAGCTTGACAGTAAGGAAAAAGAAGTTTGGAAATCAAATCCTTTCCTTGGAAGGTAGATTGTGCACACTTTTCATTTTCTTGCATTTTCTTTTATGTTCTCTCTTCTATTGCGTTTCTTGCTTTGATTTCATGTTATAAACCTATTGTAAGCTAATTTGCAGTGATTAGTTGAGCCACTTGCATATTTCCCATTTGTTTTTCTGGTGTTTGAACAAAACAAAGCACTTGGCTTGGCCTTATTGGCCAACTGACCACTTTTTTTGGTTGGCCAGCCAATATTCTCCAAGACAGAACCCAGCAGCCTCCTGGCGATGAGCAAAACAGTCTCCGACGGTTTCTGAGGCCCCTGCAGCTTCTATTTTTATCATTTTTAGTTTAATTAGAGAGTGATTGTGAGAATTTAACTTTGTTATAATTATTTTCCTCTCCCCCCTTATTTGGATTTGTAATTTTCAAAGTGATGTAATAATTTCCCCTCCCTGCTTCTTTCTATCCCGTTCTTTTATTTGCTTTCCATATCTATATATATGCTGTATATTTTGTTTTGTCATCACATCCATTCCTTGCATCCATGATTTATGCCTTAAGATCCGGCTAAATTTGCATTTGTGGGTTTAATTGCTTATTATGTGATTTTGTGCACTATCTCATGCTTTGGGATAATTCACATGTCATATACTAGAAGCCAGATCTGTAGTTGCATTTCATAAGTGAATTACATTAGGATATTGTTTACTAATGTTTACTAATGTTGTTTTTATGCCTATTTGCGGACGTCGGTAAATATGTAAGTTTTGTGCTTTAGTATCCCACCTTTGTGTGATTTTTTACTATGTTTAGTATACTACCATGTGGCTATGTGTTGATTTGATATAACTCTATGCATGCCAGTGAGTGAAGGTTGTATTATTTAATTTAGAATAAAATTGATTTTCATGATTGCACTAATCAAAACACTTTCAAAACAATGAAATCAAATTGCTCCAATTAGACGACACAGTCTATATGTGTTTGCTTCACATAGTAAATTTTAGGATTTATTAATAACCGGAATATGAATACATAAAGGAAATAAAAATCATATCATGGTTAATAAAGGTTGATCTTCTGATTTGGTGAGCGGGGTGCTCAATTAATGATCTTCCCCCTTCATATCTAAGGTTCCGAGCCAAGCATCTTTGGTTACGACGAACAGTGGCATTGGCACGGGTCACTTCCTAATTCTCCCAAAATAAATATTAGGTGGCGACTCTCAGATTTGATGACGCAGTCTATTTCTGGCAAATGCTTTTGCAATAAAATAGATTTTTTAAAAGTTGCCAAATGTGGACTCTCATCTATGATTCACATTGCACTCGTGAGACTAGATTAAAGAGACCGAAGATCCAAACTATTAACGCGCATAGGTAACCCTCGGGCAGTGTTACACTACCTACTTCACTACAAATCATATTTTCCACTCTTGCACCAAATACATGGAAATTGATTTTCATTTTGTCCATGACAAGGTCACTCGCAAAGATTTTCAGGTCCAGTTAATTTCCTTCAAAGATCAGATTGTTGATGTTCTTACCAAGGGACTTTCGTCCTCCAAGTTTCAATTTCTTCATGACAAGCTGAAACTCCTTCCACAAAATGCTTTAGCTTGACGGGGCATGTCAGGACCCAAACCCGCCCCTACAGGTTTAGTATCATGACCGGCCAGTAATCACGAATTACCTACGACCTCTATACAAATATCCAACCAATATTAAATACGGGGCTTAGCGGAAGCAAAGTAAATATGGAAGAAGTCCATCGAGCTGTACATAAATGAAAGGAGTTTACAGTAGCATTGTTCAACCATTCCAAAGATAAGTACTTATACATTACAAAAGCTTCCAAAAGAAGAAGGAAAATAAAACAAACAGAGGTTCAGCCACAATTCAACTAGACAAAAGACATATACAAAAAAAAAAAACCCTATACCAAAATTCAACTAAGAGTTCATTACAAAAAGGAGTTTAGGCTTGCTTGGCTCATCATGAGTCCAAGTGGCTCCATCTCAGGAGCTCCACAAAAGGCTAACCATGGGGTGACTCCGAGGCAATCTCTAACCTTGATGTTCAACATGCTCACCTTCATATATATAAACATAAATAGTGAGCTAATGCCCAATGAGTAATAACATGATAAAGAGGTTATATGAATGAAGTTCCACAGCAGTACAAATATTAATTAGATAAGCCATCATGTCAATCCTTCATGATAAACAAAATCATTGATCGACAGCATATTCAATACAATTCTAATTTCAATTTAATTCTCAATGATCCGTGTTATCCCATTAACAATTCTCATTCAATGACAAATTACGTGGTACATCCAATAGAGTAACAATGTATCAATAGCAATGGGACCTTGAGGGTCAATCAATATATCATATTCAATTATCCAATGGGCCACGGTATTATTTCCCTTGGGCGAGGGCCAATGGGCCATAGTATTATATCTCCCAGGCAAGGGCCTATTAAACAATGGGCCCTAGTATTGATTTCCCCCAGGCAAGGGCCTATTTAGCAATGGGCCACGGTATTGTTTCCCCCGAGCGAGGGCCTATTAACAATGGGCCACGGTATTGTTTTCCCCAGGTGAGGGCCTATTAACAATGGGCCACGGTATTGTTTCCCCCGGGCGAGGGCCTCACTAAAGGATGCCACGAGTTTACTTTCAAAAATGAACTTCATTCATTAGTAAAAGTTAGTACTTCAATAAACCCAATCAATCAATCATGTATCGATTCCGATAACAATAACATTTTTGAAAATAAATATCACTTGAACATATCTTTATAAAGTTATTACTCACAGTGGTTTGTGGTGACACTAGGCCTCGGACGTCAACCTAATGTGTGAATGCAAGTGTTGTATAGCTTAATTCTTCAATTCTCCTTCACAATTCTTCTTCTCTCTATATAAGTGTTGAGTTCTTAGCTTCCCTTCTTTAAAATCTTAGCTCCAAGATGTATTTTTTGTCTAATTGAGCTTATGTAGCTCATATATATGTATATAATTGGCTTAAGTTAATTAAGCTTAGTTAGGACTAATTAATCCCACTTCATTCTAATAAACTCTAATCAATCATTCAACTTATTTTGATCTGAATCAAATTTCAATTAAAGTTGCCATAAATTTCTAAATATTCTAATTAGCCCATTGGGATAGTCAATTTCAGTTCCTGAAGCCGTTTAGGCTTTCAATTTCTGTCTCAAGCTATCAATTTGAACAGATGTTCCATGTGACAACAGATAATTACAAAATTAAACATGTAATCACACAATTAAAATAACAGTTTTCACACGAGTATCAGTATAGCACCATATGAGGCACTATATGGCAGAAAGTATAGATCGTCAATTTGTTGGACAGAGGTTGGTGATAGAGCTATTTATGGGACTGAACTTGTGCAAGAAACGACTGAGAAAATCAAAATCATTTAGCGAAGGCTCAAAATTGCACAAAGCCGACAGAAAAGTTATGCGGATCAGTAAAGAAGGGACTTAGAGTACGAAGTGAGAGATCATGTATTCGTCAAAGTGACCCCGATGAAAGGGCATATGGGATTTGGTAAAAAAGGAAAATTGACTCTGCGCTACATTGGACCGTTTCAGATCCTTGAGAGGTTGGGTCTTCTTGCTTACCGTATTGCCTTGCCACCGGGAATGAAACAAGTGCATAACGTTTTTCCATGTATCCATGCTTTGTGGGTATCTTAGAGTTTCGTTCAATGTGATTGATTACCACCAGATTGCTCTAGATGAGGATATGATGTATGAAGAATGGTCCGTGCCAATCATTGATCGGCAAGTGAAGCAATTGAGAAACAAAACTATCCTTATGGTGAAGGTCGAGTGAAGAGAATATTATGGGAAGGAGGCCACTTGGGAGAAAGAGGAAGAGATGCGGCAACGGTATCCGCATTTGTTTCCATCAGAAGGTAACTTAAGTTTGGAGGACCCAACTTTCCATGGGGGAGAGACTGTGGCGACCCCGACCTCCGGACTAGTATATTATATTATTTTAATAAGTTTAATTGCATAAACAATGTTAAAAGTTTGTTAGAAGAGGCCTAATAATTTTAAATTTTATATTAATAATAATTTATTTTTAAAATTTTATATTAATAATTAATTAATTAATTAATTTATTTATTTTTTACGCTTAAACTAAAATGTGATGGTGCGAAACGAGTCTAGTCATCAGCTAAATTCGTTACTGATTTCTTCGTTGTTGTTGGCTATGAATTCTCAAGAACCCTACTTGGCAAATCAAGTTCGATTTACACGCACAAAATCAGTCTTCAACTTCGCAGCTCGCAGCTTTTCCCTGGATTCAACTTCGCGATTTGATTTCACGACTGGATTGGAATTTTCGTGATTCAGTTCGACTTCGTGGGTTCAAGGCCAACTCCCAATCGCGACTCGGCAGTCTGTGACCCTCGTTTCGTTTGTGACCTGCGAAGGTGTATAGAACTGCCCTTACATTCTTCCAATCGATTTCACATTCCACAATCGATTTCTCGCAATTCTAACCAAAATTTCCAGATATAGAACATGAGCGTAGAACCATTTAACAGGTGTTGTTTCTTCAACTTTTGATTTCTTTTTTCTTTTCTGGCTAAACAAACCGGTTTTTGATCGATTAATTTATATTTTTTGTTAATGGAATTTGGATTTATATAGGTTGGTGAAGCTAGCAGCTAGGGCTTTTTACGATGACATCACAACAAAAGGAGAAAATCAGCCCAAAACTGGGAGGAGTGATAATAGAGGAATTGCTGTGGTGGTACTTGATGCTCTCACTAGGTATTTTATTTATTTATTTATTTGTTTTTTCCTTTTTAATATAGTATTACTTCAATAATTTTGTAGTATTTGACTTTGCAACTTCAGAACTTGTGTATACTGTTGTATTTGAGCATTACATGACCGTAGAAGTAGGTTATTAAACCCGGAAACAAAGATATTTCAGTGTTTGTGTGATTTTGCTCAAGCTTTCACAAAGCAAATGATTTGCAGTTTGATTAGAAATTGCTTCTTCGCTCATTTAGCTGGAAAATGAAATATATAAAGTTTGATGTTGATTTTGAAATGAGCCCACAGGAGTTAATATTTCACATAAATTCATAACTGTATGCTTACATCTGAAACTGTAGCTACTTTGGTGCTAGGGCATCATACATACCGATATACCTGGGAGATTTAAGGCTCAATATCATTCTATATGTCATATCCTTTTGCTATTTACTGGGGTGGCTCTAATGTAAAGCCAACGAAGCAAAGGCTTTAGGCCCCTGATTTTGAAAGGCCCCCGATTTTAGAAGGTCCCTAGTTTGAAAGAGCCCTATTTTAAAAAAAGTAATGCTATATAGAGTTTAGATTTGCTGAATTTAGGGGGCTAAATTCAGTGGTGGAATTGGTGCTTTGGTGGCCGATGGAACAAAAATGGAAGATCTTGATTTTGCCAGCTCAAACAATTCCCCAAAACTGTGTGTTGTTCTGCCAAAGCAGTTCTTAATTTTTTGACTTTTGCTTAGAAAGGAAAGATGTGCAACAGCCAACTAACGGAATCACAAACACCAACCATAATGATGTTCATGTTGTTTATACCAAATTGGAAATGACTGAGTGGGTTCAATTTTAACCAAATCTCCCTCAAAGTCTCTCTTCTACCATAACCAACTATAGGCAAACAACAAATAAAATTGCACCACTGCAAGTGGAATTGGGTGATCATCTTAGAGGTGTTTGTGTGCATGATATATTAAGCATATTCAAGAAAATACACCATGTTCTGCTCACAACAAACTTCAAATCCATTACACCTCATTTGAATGTTGGTCTTTTTTGCAAGTATATTTAATCTCTTGTGATTAAGAAAAAGAACCTCCAAAAAATGCATAAAGAATTTAGGGGAAGAAAACCCAGATTGTCTCATGCTCACATTAAGTTTTACATTAAAAAATGAGTCTATTTGGAGAAGCCACTTTTGAGTTGAAATTAGTGAACGACATCTTAGCATGTGCTCCGATCCACATTAGAGACCTTGAATATTGTTTCTCTAAAATTTTGACACTCTGTGGATAAACTATTGAAGCTGAAGTTTCATCTATTCCTTTTTATATTCATTTTGCTTGTCTTTTCCAGTAATTGGCCAAAGGCTGAGTTTATTCACATGTTTTAGCAGTATAATTTAAAGCCATTTTTTTTTGTCATGAAATTTAGAAGAACATTGTGGGTGCTTGGGAAGTGGGTTTTTTTTGTAGGTTTTTTTAGTTGTAGGATATTATTGGAGAATTTTTTTTTTTTTGTGTTTGGGAAGATAGTTGAATTTTTTTGTGGTTGGATGTGATGTTTGTGAGGGAAAAAGTGAAATGATTATGGGGTTTGATGTGATATTTTGTTTGGATTTGTTTTTTTTTGGTTTTGTAACCAATTTGGCTTTTAGTAAAAAAAAAACCAAAAAAAATCTTTCCCAAACACCGCCATTGTCTATTTATTTGACTCTGCTTGTTCTTTCCATAATCATTAAAATTCACAAGCCAGTGTTAAATATGATTCTCAAAAGCCTTTAATTGTTATCTAACTACATCAACTATGTGCTATCATTATTTTCCTTTTGTCTCTCTTAGTCTTAAAAACTGGTCAGAGCTGGTTTCTCATCCTGGACTGAATCTTCTAAAGCATTCACATTATCATTGAAGTTGCCAATTGTTGTTTTTGCCTGAGGATCCAACACAATTTTTCTGATGGTCTATGATCCCATGTGTCCTTTTCTTCTTTTTTAAGTGATTTGGTTGTTCTGCTGCTTGCACTTGTGCTATTGCTGGTTTTGGTGACAATTGAACACGCTTTTCCCTTTTGTCATGCACTTGGAGATAAGAAACAACATGTCCAGTGTTTTAAAAAGCCCTAGGCGCATCGAGGCGCCAAGGTCACCTGGAGCCTAAGCCCCGAGACGCGAGGTGAGGCGCCTGCCTCACCAAAGCGAGGCGCAAGTTATAGAAGTTAAGCAAAATATTAATAAAGCACAATTTTCTACATAAACAAATATTTAATATGTATATTATTAATTTTTTTAATAAGAAGAAAAAAAACAATTAATTTTTTAATATATATATTATTTTATTTATTTATTATATTTTTTAAATAATGTGTTTTAATTAATTTTTTTATTTTATTTTATATACATGTGTTTATTTTTAAATAATTAATGTATTTTATTTTACATATTATCTATAAGTATATTAGATATTATATAATAGGTATTGTATGATATTATATATATAAATCAATTATATTTTATATATTATAAGTATATTGTATATTATATATTATATATTATATAATATTATACATATATATGAATTAAGAAGATATTATATATTATATAATAGGTATTGTATAATATTATATATATAAATCAATTATATTTTATATATTATAAGTATATTGTATATTATATATTATATAATAGATATTATATAATAATATATATCTATATATGAATAGAAGATAAAGGGAGAGACAGAAGAAAGAGAGAGAGATAGATCGTCAGCGTGAGAGAGAACACGAGAGAGAGATCGCGATCGCGAACCAGACAGGAGAGAGAGAGAGAGATCGCGATCGCGAGAGGGAAGGCGACAGAGAGAGAGCGAGACAAAAGCGAGAAGAAGACAACGAAAGGAAGAAGAGGAGAAGAATCGAACCAGAGGAGAAGAGAAGAATCGAACCAAAAAAAAAAAACAGGGTGTAACAGAACCAGAAGAGGAGAAGAGAAGAGAACCAGAGAAGAGGAGAAGAGAACCTGTGTTTTTGCTCTGTTGATCCACGTTTGTATCATTTTATGATGTAAATGAGATGTTATCCCAGGTGGGTATCCACACAGTAAACAAATGGGGGCTGCTGAAGTGAAAAACATTTGAAACGCATGAAGCGCACGCCTCAGGCTTTATAATAAAGCACGCGCTTCGTCGCCTAAGCTGCGCCTCGCCCATGTCGCCTCGCCTCGCCATGCTTGAGGCGCAAGGCTGCGCTTCATCTCGCCTTGGGCTTAGGCGTGCGCCTAAGCGCACTTTTTAAAACACTGAACATGTCGATAAAATGAGTGTTGCTGAGATGAGGATGCTAAGGTAGATGTGTGGCAAGACTAGAAAAGTTAGAGTTAGGAATAAATATATTCGTGAATGGTTAGGAATAGTACCGATACAAGATAAGTTGAGAGAGAATAGATTGAGATGGTTGGGTCATATATAATACAACAGAGACCAACAGAAGCAGTGATGAAGAAATGCAATACAATGACGGTAGATGAAAGTGTTAGGGGAAGGGGCAGACCTAGATTGACGTGGATTAGTATAGTAAATAAAGATATGAATCGCCTTAATTTGACTAACCAAATGGCTGCTGATAAAGTTGAGTGGAGAAGAATGATTCATGTAGTCGACCTCATTTGATAGGACCTAAGGCTTAGTTTGGTTTGGTTTATACAATTATCGTAACCAATTCCTCCATTTGAGCCAACACTACCATTTGTGAAAGATTATTATTATTTTTATTTGGGACCAATCTGCAAAAGTTTGTTTGGCATTCTATTTGAAATAAGTTGTTCTGATTACTTTCTAGAAATTGAATTATCTCCACTCATTTAATCTGAAGGTGCGGCAACCTTGACCTTTTTCACTTATGCTATGCTATACTCTTCCATTCATCTGTGTGTGCGCGTGTGTGTGCGTGTGTGTGGAATATGGCTAAAGCATTAGTTGGCATGTGGTTAGAGTTTTAGGATCAAAGATTTGTATTAGGAGTGATAAAAAAAAACGATGGAACCACTAAACTGATTTGGACCGGTTCAAATCGTATCATTTGGTTTGGTTTATTTTTTAAAGGAACAATTAGTTTCCCATTTCAAATAATTAAGAACTGTTGATTACGGTTCGGTTCATGGATTAAAGGTCAAAATGATATATTTTTATTTTTAAATAAAATTTCTTCTTGATAAAAATAAAATAAAATAAAAGACCAAATTGAACTAGGCCAAACTATTCCCTATTAAAAAAATTAAAATTTAGTATTGTATATTGGGTATAAAATTTATTATACTAGAAAAGACACATGCATATGTGGTTTAGGAATAATTGTATGTAGTAACAATTAGGAGAAAAGGAGACATAATAATACTATTTAAACTTGTTGAAGAGAATATGTAATTTACGTCTATGCATTCCAAATGGGGTTGGAGGAACATATTAAATGATCATTTTGGGATCAATTGGATGACTAATGCATGAAATACTTGGAGGAGATAAGATAATTATGGATGGGAATTTCAATAGTAATGTAGGCGATGATAAGGTATGAAAGTATACGGTGGATATGATATTGTGACGGAAATAAGGTTGGAGAGAGCATTTAGATTCATAATAGTATTTAATCCTATAGTAACCAACACCTTTAAAGAGTGAGAGGAACACTTAATAACTTTTAAAATTAAGTCAAAAAGAAAATATTTTCTTGTAAGAAGAGTTGACCGCTTAATATGTACAGATTGTAAGGTTATCTCAGAGAGCGTTTAACGTGACAACATATGCTTATAATACTAGATATATGCATCACAGGGCAAATATCAAACAAAAAAAAAAAAAAAGAAAAGAAAAAGAAGAGAAATGTTAGAGATCCAACCGGACCCTTAAATTCACACATAATTATGTGGCAAAGGGTTGAGTCTTAGGTGGTTGATTTTTAAACCCATTTGTAATTGACATGTAGTAATCTACATCATTGTGGGTAAATTTAGGGGGTCATGTTTTAGGCTATGAAGCACCGGCACTTCAAAATAAGTGCCGTATCTGTGTTGGAAACACGAATACTTCGGGGACACGGGGACATGTATGGGACATGCCACATGGCATGTTTCCTTATTCAATTAATTTATTTTCAGGGGACATGTCGGGGACACACTAAGGACATGCCAAGTTATCTTTTCCCTCATTTTCTTTAGTGCTTTTGATGAATATTGAATGTTTATTATTTTTTTCTTAGTTTTAAATACTTAATAGATCATCTATAAAAAAAGAAGATATAAATTGTAAGTGTTAATTTAATAGTCTTTTTAAATAAAAAATAAATAAATATAGAATTAGAGTTATTTTTGTTAATATTGATAGTTTGTGGATGTAATATTAATCTATATAGCAAATAAAAATATATGAAAATATATTTTATTGTTGTATTCCTGCCGTGTCCGTTTCGCCATTTGTTTGAAATCACCATGTCCACATCCTCATCCATATCCATGTTCGTATCAGTGTCCGTGCTTCTTAGGTTTTAAGAGTTTCAAGCTTTTTTCAAAAGATATTAAAAACTTATGAATTCGATGGTGGAATTTGAAAGGTGAGAAAGTAGAAGTACTTGAGTATGAAGTGTTTAAAGAAGCAACTTGGAGTTTGGAAGATGATACAAATCATATGTGGAGAATACAAGAAAGGTATAAAAAGTGGTAAAAGGAAAAAAATGAAGAAAATTTTAAGAAACATAAGTTGGCTAATAAGGATATTAGAAGGCCAATTAGAGATGATAAGTTAAAAGACTATGATGATCTTTATACTAAATTAGAAAGTAAAGATGGAGGAAAGAACATTTTTAAATTTGTTAAATTGAGAGAAAGGAAAACAAGAGACTTTAATCAGGTCAAATGTATTAAAAGTGAGGATTCGAGGATGTTAATAAGGGATGAGGAGATTAAGGAAAGGTGAAAAATTTATTTTGAGAAACTCTTAAATGAAGAACATTTGGGAAAGCTAGGAGGAGAAGAATATGATAGCTTTCTATTTGTTTTCACATGATTTTGATTGATCAGAGGGGCTTAGGATATAGTAAGTGCCAGGATCAAAGCTAACTTTTAATTTGTGTTTATTTTAGAGAGCAATTTGACATAATTTTTTTGTTTTTGTTTATTTTTTGGGCATACTTCTTGTCCCCGTTGTACATTATTGGTTTTTTTTTTTTTTTCATTTTTTTAATAATATATTCTTTTATTGATGATAAAAAAGAGGAATATGGTAACCCCAAGGGGTTGGCCTGATGGCAAGGCTTTGGGTCTTGGGGGTGTGCTCCCTCCAAGATTCAGGGATCGAAACCTCTTAAGTGTTAACAATTCTTTGAGGCCATCGGACTAGGAGAAAACTTTTGAATTAAGCGTGGTGTACTTGCGAGAATCTCCTTACCGATGGCTTGTGCACCCCTGGGAATTAGTTGGGCTTAGATCCGGACACCTCGGAGCCAATCAAAAAAAAAAATAAGAAAGAAAAGAAACAAAAAAAGAGGAATATGATAGCCTTGATGGAACTATAGAATATATGTTTTATAGTTGAATAAGGGAGTTTGAGCTAGTTTTTGCCATAGTAAGATAAAATCAAGCAAGGCATTAGTACCATATTGTATACTTATTAAGGCTTGGAAATGCTTTGTTAAGGAGGGGCTGTCTTGGTTAACAAAATTATTAAGATTGCCTCCTTTGTGGACACTCTGAAGCATGTGCCCCTGCCGACGACATTGATGCATGTAATCTTCTCCTGTTAAAAGATATGGTAGGCAAGGCAGGAATAGACCTATGCTGCTGCTACAACTGAAACTGAGTAGTACAATCCCTCTTCCTTTTGGATGCACGACTATCAGAATGAGCACTTGAACTCACGTGATATTGTCTGGAGTCTCTGATCCTTGTGTCTAGTAATGTATTAAATCCTCAACCAAACTTGCTGCCTCAACTAGCTCGACATAAACTCTGATCCTTGATGCTGCCACGTTCTCTCGAACAGAGATCTTGAGCCTCGCTCAAACTGCATACACCAACGGTATTGACTCAAAACTGAGATAAACTCGTGAATGTGGCCTTGTACTGAGTAACAGATTAGGTAACCTGAATCAGAGAGGTAAACTTTTCCATTTGCAACTCTATCACAACATTTGGAAGCACTTCTCCAAAAACATTGTGGTGAAAGCCTCCCACGTCCCAGCCACTATGGTCCTTGCATGCTTCCACCACTGTGTTGCCCAGTCATTCTATGTTGCCATTCTGTGCTGTCAGTAATTCCATTCTGTGCATCCCTTCTTAGGCTTTGTTATCTCTTGGCTTTCGATCTTCAGTTTTCCGTTATTTCTGCTTGTATTGTTACTAAAGCTACATCCCATTTATTCATTTTGAAATTCAATGCTTTTTTAGTCTGTTGTTTGTTGATGAAATATATATTTTATTGTATTCAGGCGTCAGTGGGTCAGAGAGGAAGATTTGGCGAAGGACTTGAAGCTGCACTCAAAGCAACTGCGTCGGACTTTGAGATTTTTTGAAGAAGAAAAGCTAGTCACCAGGGATCATAGAAGAGAGGTCAGTTCTGTATTGGGTTTATATTTACACTTTGGGAGCTCATAACTATGGTCTTGATATATTTGCTGTGTACTCTTCTGCAATATGTTGTAGTCCTGTTCCTAAAAATGTATTGAAGATATGAAAATATTCTATTTGTGGGATTTTAAATAATAATTGTACTTGAATACCAAGGTTCATCTAGTAGCTGTATTTACTATCACTCTTAAATAGTACTTTGATTTATGTAAACATTGGTAATTTACATATTATGATTTCAAGTGCAAATTTCAGGTTATCACATTAAGATCTCCTACTTTCAGTTTGGTTTGGTGTAAGCCCATGGGTGCCTTGTAGCTTTGTTGTTAGGTCAAACACAAATATGTGCTCTGTCTCTCTCTCTCTCTAAGAAGCACAGACACTTCTAAGAAGGTCAAGTGTTGTCTTCGACACCATGTCCAACATGACACGACACTCGTTGGACACGTCCAACACTTGGACAACACAACAAACACATTACAAGTTTGAATAAAATAACTTCGAATATAATGGTAAAACAAAAACATGTAAATTTATATTTATTTTCCTTTTTTAAAATTGTAACCAAGTTCTTAAAAAAGAAAAAGAAATTTTTTTGTTTGTTTTTGTTCTAAAATCTTCATCTGCAAGACTATCCCTTTTCTGTTTGCAATTGCCTTTGCAGCTACCAAACTATATGGTTAGTTATCAAATTACATGTGTTTAAAGCAAAAGGGGACAGTGCTTTATATCAATTTGATTCATGTATAGTTGAGAGAATTCTCTTCCTCTCGTTCTTTTTATTCTGAATTGTTAGTACTAGGCTTACATTACAGTTTGCTAATAGTGGGAAAATGATATATATTTTTTTATTTATAATTTTATCATTATGATATTTATTTGATGTTTAATTTTGTAACAGACAGCAAAAGGTGCAAAAATTTATAGTGCTGCAATAGCTGCCACAGCTGATGGTCAGCAAAATGGGCGTGAGGGAGAAGAAAAGATTAAGCTGCACACTCACTCTTACTGTTGTTTAGATTATGCACAGGTTCTGCTTGTAGATCCATGGTGCTTATATATTTTAGATTCATGTGACTTACCTGTTTATCCCCATCAATTTATTTTTAAATATTTCATTTATAATTTAAAGTCTTTTTCTAATGTCAATTATAAATATTGCATTTCTGATTTAAGCCTTCTATTCTGTTTTTTAGGGGATTTGTTTATGTTATGTTTTTTAAATAAATGAAGTCAACAATTCTAAAGAAAAAGATGTGTTGCAGATATATGATGTTGTGAGGTACAGACTGCATCGAATGAAGAAAAAGCTAAAAGATGAACTGGAGAACAAGAACACAGTTCAGGAGTATATATGTCCCAACTGCGGGAAAAGGTTTTTACTGTTGCTGCTGCTATTAGGTTATATATCTCTAGATAAAAAGCTTAAGGATTTTCCCATTGTCTAATGTCCAGGTATACTGCTTTGGATGCACTACGACTTGTTTCTCCAGAGGATGAATATTTCCATTGTGAAAGTTGCAATGGAGAACTTGTTGCTGAGAGTGACAAGTTAGCTGCTCAAGAAATGGGAGATGGAGATGATAATGCAAGGAGGCGGCGGCGTGAAAAGCTGAAGGACATGCTTCAAAAGATGGAGGTTGGTTTGTTTCTTTCATTTCCTTTAAATTTTTTTCCTTCTAATTTATTTGTCTTTGATACTTGTATGAATTATTGTCCATATATGTCGTCATCTCAGCATGGGATAATGCAGCATGCTACTTGCAGCATCATGGTTCCAATTGATATTTCTATAATTAACCATTTAGGTTATTTAATTGTGATTCAGCAGTATTTTCCCTCTCACAAAGTGCTGTGTAATCCAAAAAGTTTGAATCTAAGGCATGCTATTTAAACATTGCCAATATGATATATGATTGTTGTTTCAAAATTGAATTGTAACGTCCCCAAAATATAGGCATCCGACTGTATCCAGATTAATTCATAAATGTAATTTAAGCCCCATCATTTCCATCATCAGCATGCGAGAACAGTAGATAGTCTAGATGATTCATTCATCACTTCAAACATTAACGGTATGTTTGGTTTGGTTTTGGGAGAATAGTTTTTAAAAATTGTTTTGGGGGGAGAGTTTAGAAATTTTTTTGGTTTGTTTGGTTGTGTATTTTGAAAGTAGTTTTCAAGTTTGGGAGTTTAGAATGATTTGATATTTTGTTTTAATTGAGTAGATGTGTGTGAGAGAAAAAGTGATTGAGAATGAGAGAGGAGAGAAAAAGTGATTGATTGATAAGTAAGAGAGAGAGTGATTTTGAAAATTATTTTGGAAAATTTACAAACCAAACAAATTTTTAAATTTTTTTTCCCAAAATCACTCTAGAAATCCAAACCAAACATACCCTAAATCTTCTCCTTTTCTATTCATAATAACCCCGGTAAGATTTAGGAAATAAACCACATGCATTAATACATTCACTATTCTTGTAACATGAATCTATAGCATGTGAGAGAGAAGTTAAAGCAAGTTAAATACAAAATAATGCCTTAACGGCTACAAGTTCCAAGGCTTTTCCTGATTACACGACATGGTTTTCAAACCCATACATAGATATCCCATGGCTTGCAAAACAAAACAAATAAAAAACCGAGCCTTGCGCTCCAGAAGAAATCCTCCACGCCTTCACTTTGGCGGAGGTACGCCACAATCACCTGAAAATGGTTTCCACTAAGGGATGAGCTCAATGCCCAGCAGAGATAATCTAAATAAAGTGCATGCAGTTTAACATCATGATGTGCAATGCATATGAAATGTTAATGCCAAAAATATAAGTTTTTCCTCATTTTGAAACCTTTCCATGCCATGCACTTGTTCGAAAACATAATCAACTCAATCATTTATTTGATAAACAAGGGTGGTAAATACAGCACTGGTAATCCTTAGGCAAGTTGTTTGCAAGTAGGCCCTCAAGGCACTACCAAAACCACATTATCGGTTCCTAACCGGAAGGAACTTGATACCTACTCCGCACGTATTTTTGGACTTTTCACCATGGATCTCAAGCCAACTTAATTCTCAATTCTACACCCCCTGCTAAATTCACCAAGGTATTTACCCCAAACTCAACACATTTTGAATATTTCCAATAAATCAATTTCGAAAGCCAATTTCTCAAATTCAAAGCAAAAACTTAAATCATAAGATTATGCGATGAGCAATGCTATGCATGAATTTATAAATATTCCAATTTACCTAGTTCGCATGTGAGTTCTACAATAATCCATACAACCCTCCACCGATTGTCAAAATAATTATCTCTATTCAAAATATAATTTCAAGAGACAATAAATAATACATAATCATGCATCTTCAATAAATTCAACATAGGAGTAACAATCATATGTTCAACCTCCTCTTTCTCAACTCAACCAAGAAACATTATTGTTGTTCCAAATTTTCATCAATTTCCCTTTTTCATTCAAATTCATGAATTCACCAAGAATTTCCATAATGTCCAAAATAACATATGTTTCTCCCAACAATAAATTTTTCCAAAATTCCATGGAGTTTCAACAACACAACCAATTTCTCAATCTCAACACATTCTAGGGTTTTGAAAAAATGGGGTTTCTCATTTAAAAATAATATTTTCCCCAAAATTTCAATACCACTCATTATCTTTAGCAATCAATAAAAATTTCAAGAAGAAACTTAAGAAATCCCCCTTTTATTTAAGTAACAAATATAGATATTAGAAACCCTCATCTCAAATTCATACCAACTCTCAAAATAGCAAATAATGAAGTTAAAACACATACACTAAACTTAGGAAATCCCTACCTCAAACTTAGGAGAGGAAATGAGAGAAAAGTCCTAATTTTTCATGACATCCGATCTTCACCACACAAAAATGTTCCCCTTGCAACGCTCAACAAAATGACCTCAAGAACTAGGGTCAAGAAATCAATGGATTTTGCTACATCAAGAGAAGTAGGAGTTTGTGGTGGTATACAGAGAGAGATGAGAGAAAAGAGGAAAAAGATGAAATGTAGAGAGAGAGAGAGAGAGAGTGAAGAGAGAGAGAAGTGAAAAAGTGAAGGAAAGGGGGTGTTTGCCTTAGATTTTATGAAATTGGGCACGAAATTCGAGTCTGGGATGCGCTCGTCTGCACGTGCGGGCCCCTTGGCCGCATGTGCAGTGGTCCATTCTGCACAAGTGGTGGCTCTAAGCTGCTCAAGCGGATCCTTTCAGGGGAGTTTAAGTTCCAGTCCCTCACTTCTGCATGTGCGGTTTCCGTCTCTGCACGTGTGGGAAAGCCTTCCCAGAAAACCAATCCTGTTTGACTCAATCCGCACATGCGAGCTTCCCCAACCGCACGTGCGGAAATGGCTGTTGCTCAAAAATGCCTCCGGGACATTTCCACACTCTCTGGTTCTGTTCCCACGCTTGAAAATTGAAGATTCTAACTCGGGGATAATTTAAAAACATGAAACAAGGTTGGAAACACTTAGAAAATATGAAGAAGTAGAACTCCGAAAATATGAGGAAGAAGGAATATATTTCTGTTATATTCAAAACTTCTTATCTTACAAGACCAAATGACACTCCTTATATAGGAGATATTACAAACATCATCATAACCCATTATATGCCACTTACATATTATATATTACCACTATCTACCACTATCTTATTATATACATGCCACTATCTACCACCAACACCACTATCATATTCTATACATGCCACTATCTACAACCAACACCACTATCATATTCTATACATACCACTATCTACCACCAACACCACTATCATATTCTATACATGCCACTATCATATTATATGCATGAACACAATTTCCAGCAGAAACAAATGTAGAGATGTTACACGATCCTCAAAATTTTTGGAAACAAAAATAATAGTTTGAAGTTGAAATAATAAACCCGAAACAAGCATAATTAAGTTGGTTTGAAAACCTGGGACGTCACACCGTTATTCCGGAATTAATGTTGCGAATTCAACCCTCCTTTGGCCAGACTCTTGTTTCAAAAAAACAAGAATTTGAGAACTAATGCTGTAACTTTGATATCAAAGTGTAATATTTATCAAATGGAATGAAATTATTGTTTGTTATTATTAAAATAATACACTACATTTGCTGTAATTCTTTGCTTATTTTGCCCAGCTAATACACGGTCTTTTTGTTTGTGTGTTGATTGTGTTGTGTTGAATTATTGTCTACTGGAGTGATACTTAAGTGCAACTTTTGACCTGGGTTATGTCCATTCTTTTTATTTTTGGGCACATTTTGTTGTACCCAGCATGAGATTCAACTTCTGTTTGAATTTAGTTTTTCTATTTGTTATTGTTTTGTCTTCTCCTTCAGTGTATTAGAAATTCAACATTTTTCTTTATAAATCGCTGGTGAAGTGGGAATGCAATGGCTGCATATTATCATGTTTTCAAATATATCATACTGGTGTCACACATCGCGTCAAGGTGCTTGTGTTATTCCTAAATTTATCCTGTTTTTCATCAAATGAACATATAGTGATACTATAGATTTTGATGATTTTGGATTATATTCAAGTACACCTACTATTGCTTGTGATCGTGAAATACCTAGAAAATTACATATATTTTCTAGTCTTCGATAATTTCCTGGTCGGGGGCCTGGAGGGTTTCGAGTACCATGTGTCATATAATAGATGATAATGATTACATATTTTACAAGAAACTATGATTAGTAGGAAGATTAGTATAGCATGTTTACAAGAAACTAAGTGGGTTGGTAATAAAGCAAGAAGAATAGGAAACACTGGGTATAAAAATTTACTGTACTAGTAAAGACAGACATAGAAATGTACGGATAATTGTAGCTAATCATCTTAAAGATAAGGTTGTAATAGTCTTAAGAATAAGAGATAGAATAATGCTAATTAAGCTTGTAATTGAAGAAAGCATAATGAATGTGATTAGCAACTATACACCCCAATTATGATTAGAATTTAGAACATATTAAAAGACAATTTTGGGAGCAACTAGATGAGTTAATGCAACAAGTACTTGTAGAAGAGAAACATTGATTTGAAGGTTTGGCACCTTGATGTCGGCTCTTCGCCACCTAGGGCTGTAGTATGTTCCAAGGGTTGGGCTGGATCGGGATTATAAATTTTCCCATTCTCATCCATTAAATAATATTTAATTACTTGAAAAGTTTGTTTTAAATTGTCAACTTGTAGATAGTTAGTTGGCCTTCTAATTTAAGAGGTTTATCCAAAGATATAGGTGGAGTTTTCAACGGTCATTTAGGAAAGGATAAGCAAGGGTAGGAAAAGATAAGCAAGGGTACAAGAGGATACATGGTGGATATAGTTTTGGTGACCAAAGTGAGGCTGGAGAAAGCATATTTGATTTCGCAGTGGTGGTGTGTGCTTCCATGGTGGTAGAGAATGAAAAAGAGAGAGAGAGAGAGAGAGAGAGAGATGAATTTTTGGTTGTGGGTTTAAGTGAAGGAGATAAGGGCGTTTTTGTATTGGATTGTTTGGATGCAATGACAAATTTTTTAAACTTATTTTTCTACATAATTAAGGGTAAATTTGGCATTTTAGAAAAATGAATAAATGACATCATCATTTTCAGTTCTATTAACAGACCTGTATTTAGGGTTAATATGAAACATAGAATCAAAGCATAAGGGAGGTTAATGCCATTTTAGAAACCTCAGGGGAGGGGAGGTAAGTGTAATTTACCCTTGTTTGTTTATTTAATCTTGTAGCTGTGTTTCATAGTGTGTAGAGTGATTGCAGAAAATATTATGAATTGCAGTAGGAATAATTGAAGAAATTAAATGCCTGATATTGAAAGAGCTTCTATACTAGCTAAGCCTAGAGATCTCTTTAAGCATTTGGCATGAAGGATAGAAGGGGAAGATACAGCAGAGCAGCATGGGTCCGAGGATAGCAACTCAAGCACTAAAATTGCCTGTAATACTAGATTAGAGCTTTCAAATTCCCAGAAATGCGTATTGTCTGAGTTTGCTGGAAGAGTGAGTATAGTTGATGCTGCAAGACAGTAGAAACTCAACAGCCATGGAGCAGAGTAGAAACAAGACAGCTATGGAGCAGTTAATTGGGTTTCAAATGAATGAAATTGCTCAGGGTTGTCATATTGCCCCAAATAAGGATTGTTTTTATGACATTGTTTTCTTAAATTATGTCACAACTGACCAATCATAAATTTTATATGTAAAATATTAAGATAAGATTTATCATATTCATAATTGAAATTGGGTTTGGGTTTGTTGGTTGCCTAACACTTCAACTCAATTCCAATCTAAATAGAGATCAGGGTTGAAATTGTTGCCAAAGGCTCACCAAAGAGTGGATTTGGGCTCAAGTTCAGCCTAATGGAGTTTTAGTTCTTGTTGAAGCTGAATTTCCTGGTAGACAGTGGAGCTATGAGCTACATCTAATGAGAACATGACCTCACAAAATATTCCTCTTGTAGGGGTTTGGTTGTGGGGGTCCTTACCTGGTGCTTCAGTTAATGCCCAGGCTGTAAGCGTGAAAAGCTAGTTCTTGGCTTTAGTATAAATCCTGCTTGCAAATAATGTCAAGGGTTAGGTCTATATCACTGTATCCCTCCTAGCATGGAGTCCAGAATACGCTCCAGGACCATCACGGGGTAATAGTACGTGCTACAGTTATGCAAAGGGGTCTTTTTTAATACCTTTTTATGGTGCTGAAAAAAATGAAATGTCGATGCTTAACATGAGTAGGCTCCAGAATGCTCACCTTCCATAATTTAGGATATACATGAGCATCTCTAGATAGATATTTGTGCATGAGTTTAAGTTATGCAAAATTCTTCCCTGATTCTGAATACACTGACCTTAAACTTTATGCTTTTTGAAAATTCTTCCTGGTCATTGTATTTATACAGATTCTACATGGTTTTCTTCCATTCTTATGTCAATCTTAATGAGTGCAGGAACAGCTTAAGCCATTAATGGATCAACTCAGCAGAGTAAAAGATTTGCCTTCTCCTGAATTTGGAAATCTTCATGCATGGGAACTTCGTGCTAATGCTGCTGTTCGCGCTGCAAATGGTGATTCTAGTGCCAATGATTCCTCTAAATCTTCACAGGGGCTTGGGTTTGGTGGAACGCCTATGCCATTTGTTGGAGAGACAAAGGTAGCCTTTTAATCATCCTTCTTGTGTCAAAAATAAAAATAAAAAAGAACAGGAAAGAGGTCTGCTCAATATGAAGTGCTCTGTACTTGTGTGTTACTGGTAACATTTATTATTGATATTAATGTTATAATATCTTTGGTAGTCAGTACCTGTCCTTTCTTTGATTTTTCTCTATATGCCATCAATAAGTAAAATTTCCCATGGAATTGAATGGGTTCTTGGGCAGCCCTCTGTGTTTCTGGAAAGTCATTTCCTAATTTAAATATGGTGATGGAGCTATGTGTTGATCGTGTGGAATCAAGCCCTTCAGTTTCACAAACATTTAGTGATCTCATTTCAAGACAGTCAAGTCATTCCAAATTCTGTTCTGTTATCTTAATTTTCATATAGTGAAAGGATAATAGAGAAGGACCATATCAAGTCAAGAACTCAATATAAAGAAGATGGACTAGTTCAAATGCTCTTAAATGTTTTTAATCCAAGATAATAAATTTTGATAATAGTATTAACAACTAGTGCACTAGTTCTCTTGATTTAAGAGAGGCGGGACTACTCATGATGAGAACTACCTCATTTACCAACAATGTCATCTAGAATACGTGGTGTACCATGTTCTTGCTTGTGTAAGGTAACAGCGGACTAATAGTTAATGATTGGGTTTTTTAATCTTAATTGAGCCAACAAAGTTGAAATGTAATTTTATATTACATTTTCACTCTTGCTCAACATTAGTAGTTCTTGCAGTATGTATTTCAATCTTCGTCTGAAATTTGGGATTGTGTGGCAATGATTCCTCTCTCTCTCTCTCACACACACACACACACACACACACACACACACACACACATACATGCACTGTGCACTCATGGTTCTCATTTTCTTTGTATTTCAATGTATGGAAATATTTGATTTTTCTTTCTCTCAATATCTTTCGGCAATCAACCAGTGTACTCAGGCTGGTGGTCGCTGAGGGTATGCTACTTTAAGTCAGAAGCAGGGCTGAAGGAAGTTTGGTTTAGACTTATCAGGGCATCGTTGCATCTGTGAAATATTATCATCTTTTGGCTATGTTTGAATGACAGAAATCTTGAGAGAGAATGGGAATGTGATTACGGGTTTCCATGATTCTAGCATTTGGAATGGATTGGAATAGAAAAGTGATTCCTGATTTTCTATTTCACCAGGAATCACATTTCCGTGGTAATTAGGAATTTGATTCCCCCACTTTCCCGTGCAAATCTCACATTCTTGGAAGAATGTTAGCTATTTGGCCCACTATTTAAAATTTTATCATTTTCCCATTAAAGATTCCAAAGGAAACCAGACGCTTGAATAGAATTGACACAGGAATTTTATTACTAGTAATGGCATTCCTATTTCCATAGCCTGTGATTCAAAACATGGCCTCAAGGAATTCAAAGATAAATACAGAGGCATGGGGTCAAAGAGGTTTGTTGTTTCGGTTTGGGTAGGATTTGGCACGAGGATCCAATTGTTGGCGTTGATGAAGCTAATAGTAGGACATCTTTATCAAGGGATGGAATTTTTATTAGAAGATCTGAAACCTTAAACTTGCAAGTCAAAAAGTCGTTCCTAAGCTAACTATCTTGCATTTAACTTCAAGGTAGATTGAGCAAAGAGTTATGGTAGTTTTATTTTCCTATTCTGGTGGCCAATAAGTGTGTTGGACTCTAGATTAAGCGGTGTTAAGGTGTGGCTGATTTGTAAGCTGACCCAACTGAACCGACGAGCAAAATCGGATTCGGTTGATTTTGATAAGATAAATGGTTGGCTGTGGGTGCTTATTTATGAATTTTCAGTTTCATGGTCGATTTACGGGTTTAATATCGCATCACCCACAAAACCTGAACCAACTGAAAAAATAAATAAGTAATATATTTACACGTGCTACCCTCTTATTGGACTGTCATACTACACTTATTACCTACCTTATCACCAACTCTCCACGTACTCTCTATCCCATCACTCAGACCTTTCAACTCCCACTTCCTATATTCTCTCTATCTCTCAAACTTTATTCTTTGTTCTTTCTCTCTCAACTATTTTTTCCCTTTTTTCTCTCAAACGCTTATACCTCACTATCTCTGTCTCTCCCACTCAAGTTTAAGGTTAGGTGATGATGACATACCACATCGATGATAATGGGATCAGACGACGGTCATAACATCAGACATCGACGATCAAATCAGTCCCTTAATGAGAACAACGACGACGACAATCAGATCAGCACCTTCACCTATTCCCCTTTTAGTTTCTGTCTCTTACCCCCTCTGAAACATGATTTTGCAACCACAAAGGGCTTTGTTTGTTCTTGAAAGATGCCAAAGGGTTTTGATCTTGGTCATTTGAGGATTAGGGAAGAAGATGAGTGGTTGGTTTCGACCCCTAACCAATCTTTTTTGAACGCAATGTCTGGTTTCGAACATGTAATTGGTTGAAATCGGATGACTTCCTATTCTACCTAAGATGGACGGCATGAGCGACGGGTATGTGGTGAACCCAACTTGATCCAACTTGTGAACACCCTTAGTTGGGACCTATGAAGCATAGACACCTCTCCGGTGGTCACGTACGAGTGTCTGACATGCTGGAAAGAGTCGGACACTTAGGGACACGCTACGGACACATTAAGGACACACTGAGGGCTACTTTTTTCAAAAAAATTAAAATTTTCAACGTTACTAAAGTAACATACAAAAGTTAATAAATTTAAATATTTCACATAAAATATATATTAAATATTTAAAAATATGACATATAATAAATATATAAAATTATATTTTTTGCACGTGTCCCCAACGTGTCGTTTCTTATATTTTTTGAAAATTTACGTGTTTGTGTGTTTGTGTTGTGTCACGTGTCCATGTCCGTACTTCTTAGGCTGGGACTTTAAGCTATATTTGTTGGGTTTATGGGTTTTGGAGATAAATAGAGGTGAAGGATGAAGTATTGTATTTTAAGGTTTGGTTTTAGGTTTGTGTGAATGGATCACATGCTGAATTTTTCTACTTAGAGGGGTTTGAGATAAGAGATTTTTCTATCTGATTTGTTGTCCATGTTAGTTAAGTGTTGAGTTGGATGATTAGTAGGGTGGTGCAAGGGAAGATTTGGACATGGTCCACACTTTAGCAAGGGAAGGGGTATGGCGTTAGGCGGTTCAGTATTTTTAACAGCCCCTTTTGGGAGAATGGTTCCAGAAATTTTCTTATGAGAGGGATATATATTGGAGGTATGACAGCTCTTGAGTGATTGGCTTCATTAGATGTGAACATGTCTCATGGGTGAGGTGAGGGCTTTGTAATGGGTTGTCAATTTGTTTGGGGAAGATTTTTTAAAGCATTCTAGCTTCAAGGTGGTTAGGGGTGATAGAGTGAAGTTCTAGTGCCATAAGTGGCGTGGAAATGAGACACTTGAGAGGCCTTTTCCTACCGATTTCCTTACCATTGATAGAGAAGCTTTGGTGGTTATGCGTGGGTTCAGGTAGTGAGATTTTATAGGATGTTGGTCTAACAAGAAATTCACAAGATTGAAAGGTGGATCAATTGAATAATGTTGTCAACCTCCTCTATGGGTATCATGGTATTGCAAAAGGTGAAGACTATATGTGGAGTGTTATGAAGAAAGGGAGGGTTGAAGTGAAGTCATTTTGTGCAGCAAGCTTTATTGGGAAGTAGAAGACTGAATTTTCCTTAGGGCAGTAGGTTACTAGGGCTCCATCCAAGATTTCTTTCTCTGTGTATAATGCATCACATGAGAAGATTCATCGATTTAAAACAAAATATTGGACACGACACACTTGGGACAAGTTAAAATTTTATATTTTTACAAATTTGTTATATATCATATAAGTGATTAATTTATTCAAAGATAATGAAAAATATGTAATATAATGCTAATTACATTAAAAAATTATATATTTCATAACTTAAATATAACGCTAATTCATGTAATGCTTACATTCTAAAAAATGCAAAACAATTATAGAACATTATTAACACATGATGTATTCATCTTATAAATGTTTCAAAACTTTCTTAGTGCATAAGTTGTGTTTTGAAGAATGCATAACATTGTTATTATGAAGGAACTCATCACGTAAGACGTGCTTGGAGGGTTCAAAAAGAGTCACTGAAGTGTACATGAAGTGTCAATAAAGTGTCTAATATTGTGAATTTGATTTTTGAATTAGGACACATTGAAGAAGTGTCGGACATGCATTTAGGAGTGTTCGAAGAGTATCAGTGTCGGACACGACATGCTTCCTATGTAGAAGTGTCCGTGTTTCTTAGTTCTTAGGAGATAGCAATTATTTTTTGTTGGTGTTGCATGTGTTTAGGTGATGGAGTCGGCTGATCATTTGCTTATTCATTGCAAGGTGTCTACTGATATGGGGGTTTGGTGATGGCTTTATTTGGAATGAACTGGGATTTTTTTAGGGATGTGGGAAGAGTCATGTTTGTATGGTGGGGAGTTAAAGTAGGAAAGAAGAGACGAAAGGCGTGGCTGCTAGAGTGAAACAAGACCGTTCAAGGAGTTGAAGAGCTATTATACCTAACCTAGACGTATTTTGTTGATTTTATAGATTCTTTTTATTTGTAAGAATCTATTTTTTGATTTTTTTTTTTGTCATTTGAGTATGTAGTCCAAGTTTATTTTGGATTTTATAGGTTATCATGATTTAACCTGTGTACATGGGCGGCATCCCCTTTTGATGTTCGTATAATGTTATATGCTTAATCAATAAAAATTATTCCTCCAATGCTTTAACTTTTAGCCTATTGGATCATCTGAATCCCGAGTCCTGTGAGAACTTTATCGAGCCCAAGAATAACCTGTGTTGAAACTCCAAAACACTTTTAGGAGGTTGCCGTCTTCTATCAGAAAATAAAATGCAAAAGCTGACCCCGATAGCAGCAGGGGATACTTCTGGTCCTACTTGTAGAATCTACAATTGACCTGGATCAATTCTAATTCCAAAAGCTGTTGTCCGTATCTGATTTGATAGTTCATTAAAATGCTAATGCATAGTGGAGCCCTAGGTATGGACCCCGATTAGACTGGAGCTTACACTTAATTAACTCTAATTCATGCTCTAGCTGAGTATTTGATAGCGGTATTACTCCTGTAGTTAAAATAATCACAGTTAACTTTGGAATTGAAAACAAGAAGAGGATGCGTGAAAGTTTTGCTTATGGATTGTGGAAATAAGAAGTGAGGTCTGGTTTTTCAGCAAGCAATTCGACAGGATATGTCCTTGACAAATATCCTTCCTTGCTGAGGTTTCCAAAAATGTGAAACATATTAGAATGCGTGCTTCAAAGTTCTAAGTGATGCTGACCCCGTATGATAGAGTTCATGATTACTTCTGTGAGTCTATTCTTGGTTGAATCTCTCTTTAACCTCAAATAATGCATCATTTAGGTTCATTCTTAGGTCTTTTGTAGATCCATCATTAACCTTTTAATCAGAGTGGAATGTGATATTTAATAGCCTTGTGACAGTAACCAAAACTCTTTTCTTGCTTTTTGAGTCAGTCTTGACACGTCGTGTATACTTGGAATTTTTTATATTTTTCCTTTGTGAACAGAGGCATCATGTGTTCAGCTTTGTCTTATTGTGGTTAGGAAAAAATCCAGTAGACTTTCCTATGATAACATATATTCTCAAGAGAAATATTTACTCTGATAGTTGAGCATAGGATGGCTTAGTTTCCCGAAATGATTAAGAAAATTTACTATTACTTATCAGAAAAGGAAAAAATAATATAAGTTTTATTGTCAACTGGACTGTATTCAAACAATTTATGGTCATTTCTTGGCAGGTTGAAGTTGCCTTCTCTGGTATTGAAGAAAAAGGCGAGGATATTAAATCTGAGAATGCAAATTCCCCTATGAAAGTCTTGCCTCCTTGGATGATCAAACAAGGGATGAACCTTACAAAAGAGCAGCGTGGGGAGGTCAAGCAGGAATCGAAGATGGAGGGCACTTCAGCAGCTGTAGAGTTATCAGAAGACAAAAAGTCAACAACTGGAAAAGATGATGCAAAGAATTTACAGGCCTGTGCAGAGACATGAATTCCTAAATTTTTTGTTATCTTAATTTGAATCTTGTGTGCTTCACCTTTTATTTCTTTGATGCTTAGATCTGACTTCGTTTCCACTCTCTGGTTGTGTTGCAGGATGAATATGTTAAAGCCTATTATGCTGCTCTACTTCAGAGGCAACGGGAGCAAGAAGAAGCTGCCAAGACAGAACAGGAGTTGTTAAACACTAACATCTCTAATGGTCTTAATGGTACATTTGAGCGTCAAGTTGGAATGAAGTCCAAACGTGATGAAAATGATGAAGATGAAAATGTTGAATGGGAAGAGGCTCCACCTGCAGGTAGATATGAAAAATCATTGCCCTGCTTTCAAAGTCTTTTTGATATTTGGAATGTTGTGTGAGCTTCTTAAATAAGCAAATTATATCTGTGATGAGAAATTGTCAAACACAGCATGAAATCATTAACTATTTTTGTAGGAAAGTGAAGTTCGGAGAGTTTGAATTGATAAGCTATGATTATTGGAGTTCTCTCTCTCTCTCTCTAGTTATGGTTAATTATCTAGATGTCATGTCATGTCATAAGATTTTATCAAATGATACATCCCATATTACAAATGCTTTATGATTCATGTTGAAAATATTTGAAACTTTGTGGAAGTGTCTTAACTTCTTTTATGTATGCTCTTTTCAATTCTTGATATATTATTCTGAATGTAAGGTATGAAGGTTCTGAGTGCTAACTGCCCTCTTAACATCCATTGTGTGTGAGCAAAGATTGTTAGCATTTTTACCGGAGTTTTCTCCTTGTAGTGTAGAAGACCAGATAATGAGTATTATATGTTGGTTTTGGGGTGTTCCAACTTCTGCAGCACATTTGGTTGCGTTTTTGTATCCTCTTTTTTCAGAGATTTCAAAAATCTTGTGATGGCAAACAATTTTCTGCCTGCACTATAAAAAAACATGCAAAGCCTTCTTGGGTTGGATATCTGGAAGGAGCAAAACATGAATCAAGTTCTTTGTAATCGAAGTTCCTGGCAATCCATAAGAACTCCATTGACCTAAAGGAGAATATGTTGAAAGGAAAAATGATTTATTTATTTTTTGGTTTTTCTTGTTTCCGTCGTTGGAAAAGCTGTAACTGACAATGCAACCAATGGCAACCAGTTTCCTTTTGTTCAGTTCTTTATTCTTTGTATTTTTTAGACTATATCTGAAATGATTGACCTTTCTCACATTCTCATATCACTAAAACCTTTGAGCTTGGAGTTCATTTGTGTCGTTGTGACGCCCCTAAAATCGAAAACATCAAGGAATATAATAACAAAGAAATATAGGGTACTGCTAAGGTTATAAGTTCAAGAATAAATAATGATACGTCACTAATGAGTCCTTTGGTCCATAACTAAGTAAGATCTTAAGAAAGATCGGGAAGAGTCAAAGTAGCCTCCTGTCTAAGTCCAATATCCTTAGATAGCAAAGCTACCTTTTCGATAGATCTTAACAATATTAACGCAAGTTCTACATAAGGTGACGGAAAATAAAGGAGAGCTTACACAAAAGATATACATAGATATATAAGCAAATAATAATTACAAACTTGTGTTTTAAGTAACAAGATGAGCTTTTATATTACAACCCCAAAACAAATTTACGAAGAGACTTAACAAAACTAGTTCTAGTTCCTTCTCGGAGAGCCATATGTCTTCAAACGTTTCCATTGCACCGCCGTTCGGATAAAATTTTTCAACACCTGGCATGAAACACCATGAGTTTGGAATGTCCAGTAAATTAACACACACCCCGTCCCCTTTTCCTAATCCAATACACAATTACAATAATGGCACGATGATATCATACAGCGGGAGCAATAATCAAGCAGAGCTTATAATAACTTTCAGTTCTCAATAATAACAGTCAATCTAGTTAGTTCTAGGCAACTTTCCACGGAATGCCGTTCTTACCTAACACTCCAAGCTTGGCTTAAGGCAAACCACTACCCTTTCCTACTCACCATTCCAGATGCCCCACTCCTAGGTCTATGTACCTAGATCGTGTCATCTTGGAATATAGGATATTCATAACTCGTCGGCCACGAGAATTCTCATTTGTGTTCTGGTCTGCCACAAGAATTCTCATCTGTGCCACAAGCATTCTCATTTATGTTCTGCAAGACCACCGCACGGCTGACATAAATGACTATGTTCTAAACCTTAGCCAACTTGAGTATTGTAACACAACTTGCGCAAGACCTAACCTCACAATCTATCATTTTTCTTCCATTTCTCAAATAACTAGTCCATTTGTCTCATCATTCCGATTATCTCATAAAAATTTCTTTGGCGATCAAAAATCAAACACCACCCATATTAAGTTACCCGTTAAGTTAGGTGTGTTTTGTTAAGGTCAGAACAAGTTATTGAAATAACATTTACTGTACAAGTATAAACATTTCAAGGCACAAATTTAAAGTAATACAACCACAAACATATATAGATGTCATATTAAAGTTTGAGCAAACAATAAGAAGCATATTCAATCAACTAAGAGCATGAAACTATTAACAAGAACAAATTTTCATATTCGGTTTACTTTAAAGATAAACTATCAAAGTGGTATTTTTAGAATTTTCGAGAAGTTGTCTTATTTAGGGTTTGTAGAGAATTTTGTCTAGTTTCAAATCAATTTATGGAAGTGGGGTAACTTTTCTAGATTTTTAGTTATTAATGAAATACTGCAGCTCTGTTTAGATTCGTCGGCTATTATGAAAGTCGATTTTTCTCTCAAACCACTCATTCATTTTCAATAAAATCAAATTTTCTTGAAAGGCAACACTTTAATGAGGTTTTGATGTAAATTGAGCTAAAGATGATTTTTCTAGAATTTTTGGAAGTTGGCTGAAAATACTGGTTATTGGAGCACAAAACTTGAAATAAAAAGAGTTGTAAGAAAAGGGGGTAACCATGGGTAATTTTTCACTTCTCTTATGATGAAAACATGATAAATAATATACTAATAACTCAGATTTTTAGTTTGAAGGTGTTTCTTTAAAAATGATAGATGAAATGGTTGGAAATTGGTGACTTTGCTTCAACAAAGAAAGAATACAAACAAGGTAATAAACAAAGCTCAACCTCTCTTATTCAAACGCAAGTATCCTATACATAAACATAAAAACAGCGCCGCCAAATTAGTACACATTAATGTGTGTTTGGGAGGGGAAAGATTAGATACACACCTAACCTTTGACATATGAAAACAATATTCTAAGCATATATTGTCGTGTATTTAGTAGAGAAAAGAAAAGGATAGATTGTGTTGTGGCCTACTTGTTTGCCTAGGAATGGTGTATGCAAGCTTTCCCTCTTTTTCTTCCTCCTCCTTCCAAAGCTCACACCTTTTCTTCTTCTCTCTCTCTCTCTCTCCCTCTTGCTAAAAATATTTGTGTATGTGTTTTTGTGTGTAAAAGTCTTGAGTTGATCTATTTATAGGAAAATTGTGGTGAAAAGTCCAAAGTGCCATTGTTTCTAATGGAATGAAATAGTTTTGGATTTAGTTTGAATGTAATGGAATGTAAGATGATTAGGAGGTCTAATTAAGTGTTAAAGCATGATTTAGTTGTGGATTTGTCTAGATTGATATAGGGTACAAGAAAAACTTCTAAAGTCAAGGTACTTTAGTCAATATTCTTCCAAGATTCAAACAATTTGTTCCAAAAAGTACATACCAATACACCTATATCTATATGGCTGGTCATGTGGGGGTGATTTTGAGAGTTTTTTCAATTTATTTTTGTGTACAAAATCTTATATATATTGTAGATATTTTTGCAAAAAAAAGATTATAATAATGGATTGTACCTTTTTACATATAAAGAATGGTTTTGGGGGCTAAAGTGCAATTTTAATATAGTGTGAGGGCATGGGCTCAATTTATGAATTAGGATATCTATTTCAAGTGAAGAATTAATTAAGCTAGTGATGGGGAAAATAATTTAGTTTGTGTTCTCTTGCTTTAAATTAAAAGGTGAATAATTAAATGAAAATGGTGAAAATCGGAAACTAGGGTTCTGAGTGGTTAATCTATAATCAAAGAGTTAAATAATTAATACTAGAGTGTTAGAAATGATTACGAAGCTACTGGGGTCGATTAAGGTTTGTACGGGCTCGTCTATGATGTATTTTCGGTTCTAGGGTTAAATTTGTGAATAAATGAGGAACTAAGGACTTTATTATAATAACTCAAAAGTCAGGGCCTTAATAGGGTTTACAAAAGTTAGGGGCCTCACTGTCGTGCATGTATTTTTATGTTTTAATGTTTTAAATTTTATATGAAACAAAAAGAGAACTTGTTAGAGATAAGATGGGTGTATGAAGATGAGATGGGTGGAAAATCCATCAAAACTCACACGAAAAAGTAAAGGCATAAATGTTTTGACCATCCACTTGAATATGATAGGCCAACTACATTGTTGGGTTAATTTCCTAACTTAAGCTTTTAGGATGGTTGGAGATCTAACAAGATATTAGAACTGAGTCTAGGCAGTCCACTGTTCAAGTTTTGTTATCAGCCCTGTTATTCCTGTCATTGTGCAGTCAATCTGTTCTCTTCATGTGTGCACGCAGTATGATATCCCTACGTCTGTACATTGTTGGTTCTATTTGCTACGACTTTTGGTGGTTACTTAGTTGTTATTCTCCATATACTAATTTTCTTCTAGCTATGATTATTCTTTGATAAAACTTGTGGATAATTTGAAATTCTTCAGAATGCATCTTTTGCCACGTTTCCAGCGACAAACAGAGCCCAATGGATCTTTCTATTTTATCATATTGTGTAATAATTGGTCTTTTAGGGATTCAAGATTTCCTTTTTGTTTTCTTTGTGGATTGTCGTGCTTGATAATCTTTGGTTTGGTGGCCACTAATTGTATTTCATTCTGTGTGTTACAGGTAATACAGGTGAAAATTACAAGGTTGACTTAAATGTTCAAGCTGATGCATCAGGTGATGATGATGAGGATGACATAGATTGGGAGGAGGGTTGAGAGAACAGTATTCTGTCCCATGCAATATTTTGTCTATTACTAGAAAGATGAGTGAGCCGAGTGATGATGGGGTTTTCTCAAGTTGCTTTCTTTGTCGACTTTTTTTTTTTTTTTTACCATACAACAACCAGTAACCATAAAATGTGGAACTTCTCTTGTTTGGAGCTTTTTAAAGAGAGATCTTCTGTTGTAAGTGTGGATTGAAGAAACAATGCAAGTAAAATGGAGAAGGGAAAATTTTATATAAATGACACTGCTGTTTCAATGTGCTCATGTGATTGTGCAGACTATGAAGAAAGCAAAAACAACAAAATCATTTGTCTTTTTTGTTTTTTGAGGACTTGTTTATTTGTTGGGCAAATTTAATTTTATCCCATGTGGTTTACTCTCTGTGCAGTGAAGTCTAGAAATGTGCACATGATTCTCCCCATAGTTTGTGAATTAAACTATACCATCTATACTATTATTATTAGGGATTAAAACGAAAAACCAAAATATCTCTGTATATTCAAGTAATAACCTCTATAACAAGGGATGTGGATTTTGACTTGATTGAAAAGTTAAAACATCTCAGCATTTTGGTTCAAGCTGTATCAAGGTTGAAAGATTGGGAATTGGTTCTCACTTTTCCTTTTTGCTTTGATTTGTCAAGATTATCATTACTCTTCAGTTTTGAAACATTCTCAAGTTTTTGGGCTTTCATTTGAATTGTTTCGTAAATAAATTTTTGAGAAAATTATAAATACATAAAAAAATCCCCTCAAAGTTTGAGTAACAAATAAAATCTAACTTCTTATTTGTTTGAATGTACACCTTGCCCTTTTATAAAGATTAGGTAATTTAAACAATTTAGTCATTTTTATTTTCCTTTCATTATTATCGACAACCACTTCTCACTTTTACCATTGTCTATCACCACCTCTTCTCTTTTTCAATCTACTGTCATAAACCTTCATCCATTTTTTCATCCACTGCTACTTCTCTTTTCTTCCCTAGCTCATTGAATATACATTATATACAATGCAACATTCATTACAATAAGAGATGCCCCTTGGTCTTATAACAAATAAAGGGTTTAACCCTTACAAAAGAAAATGGCTTTCGGCTAACAAAACAAGGCCCTAGGCCAACAAGTAAAGAGCCTTTTAAGTTACTTCCATATCGCCACGTTGACTCAAGGTCATGGTCCAATATCAACACTTAGAAAGATTTTTAAACAACGAGGGATGAACCAAATGTGTAGTTGAAAAATCTTTATATCTATTAATATCAATCTACACACCTACATGATTATGATGCGAGACATATAGATATAACTGGATTTAAAATCTTTTCAATTCATAACAATAATCCTTTCAATTTCCAAAGAAACAAAATCAATATCACAAAGTTCTACATTCCTGCAAGTCTCATTTCAATGTATAAAATAATTCCATTTGATTATCTGAGGTGAATCCCAAGGTCAATGTATTTATCATTAGTCATCGCTAAGCACCACCTAATCACCCTTACTTTATCGGTCGCTACCTAAAGGAAATTGATACCTACATTAAGCATACCCCCACTTTACCAGCCCTTAGTCGAAAGGAAACTAGTACCTACTCCTCTGCGGGTATTTCGTCTTTCACCGTGGACTCTCTCACCAACTTAATCACATTAGCAAATCATAAATCAACTTAATCACATTAGCAAATCATAAATCATGAGCTCCGAATACCGTTTTCAATTCCACATTCGATTTACAAATTACATTTCTCAACATTTCCCCTTCTCATTTGGGTTATTCTCAAAAATCAATTCTCAATCATTACTTCCAATTTTACAATGTTCAATTCTTGATTCTCAACAATACTCACTTTCATCACAATTAAAATTTCAATTCTCAATTCAATCGAGTTTTTAAATTACAATGCAACTCGTGTATTTACAATCAACCAACAAAAAAATCTGTTCAATAAAACCACCATTTATCAGTGGGTTTTCAAATCTCAAGAATTCAATAATTTAATTGATCAAAAGCGAGTTTCAATTTACCCTAGGTTGGTGATTTCTACAACAATGCAATTCTCTACCAGTTGTTAACAATAAAAAATAAGAAATCTTTTGATTTGCTCTTTCAAAACAATCCCTGATGCCTTCCGTTCTGTGGTATAACTCTCAAGAGAACTCCTACTGCACAGAAGAAGGTTGTTGTGGCTTTGAACTGGAAATGTCTGATGCATTAGCAGGGGAATTGGACAGACACATGTTGCCCTCCAGATACCAACTGTAGGAGAATTGTACAACGGGTTAGGATGATTCCATGGTGGTGCGACAAAATCTTCTATGAGAGTCTTCTGAACTCTTGATGGTTGGACAGGAGGATCAGCTCTTCTCTCTGGGGTCCCCTAAATAGGATGCACTCTGATGTCCGCAACTCGTACTCCTGGAACAGGGGTGGTAGGTGATGGACTCTTGCGAGATCCTTTCCTTTATCTCTACCTAATCGGTGCGGTTTGAGTGAAAAATAGAAATCGTATGACGGGTGACGGATTGATGAAAGTGTTACTAAAATTTGTCATTTTTCTTATCAAAAATCGACAGTTCGGTTGGCAAATAATGGCAGATTTGCCATGACGGTTCGGGTGGATTGGCAGTTTATAAAAAATATAATTCAAATTACAAAACTTAAATCAAAGAGTAAAAAAAAGACGAGAGATACCATGATGTTAAGTATCTTGCGAAACTTTCTTCTGATGCAGCAAGTGTAGCAACAGCATGCCATCAGTTCATTACAAGCATCTGTAGAAATTACAATGATCAAATATAATACATAAAATTAATATCATTCAGGGCTTACAATATATTGAAAATGTTTACTATTGAAAAGTATTTAGATTGAAAAGTGAGCTGATGCAAGTTTGCAACATAGCCAAAAAAAAAAAAATTTTTGAATTGGAATCCAACTTTATTTTAGATTACTGACATCTTGAATTCCCCTCGAGCAGTAATGTAATACTCTATTTTAAGGTATAGAACAACAAGCAAACTTAAGTTAAAAAAAAAATTTAGAATCTTATAAAACAGATTTAATAGTGGTGCGGGTCGGTGCGGTTTGGAAGAAAAATAAAAATCGGCGGATTAATAAAAGTGTCACTAGAATTTGCCATTTTTCTTATCAAAAATCGGCGATTCGATTGGCAAATAATAACGAATTTGCCTTGATGGTGCAGTTCGCTACGTTTTGACGGTTTCGACAGTTTCGACAGTATTATGCACAACTCTACTTCCTGACATTTTTCCTTAGTTCCATGGGTCCCACCAGACATGCCAAAAGATGTTTATGCAAAAAAAAAATATATATATATATACTTTTTGACTAAAACAGAAGTTTTGGCTAAAACACAGAAGGTTTTTGGTGATTTGCGAGTATGCCAAGACAATAATGCCTAAATTGATGAAAATGTATTTCAAAAAATCTGACTTCTGAAAATAGGAAGTTGTGTCAGGTTTAAAGGAATAAAAGACCTACTGGTTCTAGTTTTGCCTCAATTAAAAAGACTTAAAATCTTTATGAACTTTTTAATGTCAAAAAGAGAGATAAATAAAGAGAAATGAATACCAAAACACATACTTTTATAAATTTAATGGATTGAAAATTACAAAAGCATAAAAAAAAGTTTGAAACACATGAAATTAAGTTACAAAATGAATGTAAACACAATCTAAGTCTCAAAACAATGCTTATGAATGCCAAAAACAACTAGTTTGACGAGGATGTCATGATTTAAGGCTAAAATCTATGGCAAATATGCCTTTCAAGTCTACTCCTAAGTTGAACTAGGGCTAAATTAAAGATAAATGACACTGGGTTATAAATTAAAGATAAATGACACTGGGTTATGTATTAAGTTGTGTTGAATGTTGGATTAACTGGGGTTTGTTCCATTTTCATTTCTTGTATTTATAGATGATGGAGCCTCTTGAAATGTACAACCACCTCTTGAAAATCTAAAACTACTTCGGTTAGTAAGGTGCTGAACCTGCTTTTGAAATGACACATGTCCCACTTTGTTCCTCCTCTTTAAGATGTTAATTGTATCAAAAATGTTTGAGGGCCCGAAATCCCGTTGGCTCGAAATCCAAAACGACGTCGTTTTGGGTTTCATTTTTTTTTTTCTTTTTCTTTCTTTCTATTGTTGCTTTTGAATAGAGAAGAAGAGAGGCGAGAGTGAGAGAGAGGAGAGGAGAGGAGAGGAGAGAAGAGAAAGAGAGAAGAAGAGAAAAAGACGGTGATGGCGGTGATCGCCGGTGGGTATCACCGATTGCCACTCGCCACTCTATTTTATTTATTTTTATTTTTTTATTTTTTTTTCTGGATCTGGAGCTGAAAATGAAGAGGGGAAAATTTTTTTTGTTGGCTGTGTTGATGAAGTTGTTGATTTTTTTTTTTTTTTTTTTTTTTTTTTTTTAATCCGGATCTAAATCTAAAGATGAGGGGGAAAAAAATAAAAATTGTGATGATGATGATGATGATGATGATGATGATGTTAGCTGTGTTGATGAAGATGTTGTTGATGAAGATGTTAATTTTTTATTTATTTATTTATTTATTTTTACTAGATCTAAATCTGAAGATGAGGGGAAAAAAAAAAAAAAATTGTTATGATGATGATGATGTTGATGAAAATGCAGCTGCTCCCTTCTCTTTTCTTCTTCTTCTTCTGCAGTTGCTTCTTCTTCATCTTCATCTTCAACAACGAGACTTCTTCATCTTCATCTTTATCTTTATCTTTATCTTTATCTTCATCTTCAACAGCGAGAAAAAAAAAAAGAAAAAAAAAATTCAAAACAACATCATTTTAGCTTTGAAACAAATTTGAACTCGACAATTTCAGACCCAGTAACAACTTTGTAATTGTATATCCCGAAGACTTGGTCATGGGTGTAACTGCCTCTTGATTTGAGCCATTGGATGGTGGTGGGGTCTTGCATGGATGACAAGTGTCACATGCTTCGTCAACGAGATCTCATAACATTTGAATTGTGACCGTTTGATGCTTCTAATAATGGAGCTCTTTGCTTTCCAGATTGATGACACATGTCCCATCATTTTTATCTTCAAAAGCCAACAAATAAATATATATATATATATAGGACTCTTTAGATAAGTAGATTATAATCTACTTTTTTAAATTGTAATTTACTTTTTTTTCTTATAAAAAAATTACTTATAAATTATTTATAAATATTTTTTTATTAAAAAATTAATTATAGCCATCATCTAAAAAAAT